GTAGTAGTAGTAGAAGAAGCAGAAGAAGAACAAGTGATTTTTGTTGTTGTTGGTGGTGGTGGTGGTGTTGTTGTTGCTGCTGGCGGTGGTGGTGATGTTGGTAATGGTGGTGATGGTGGTGGTTGTGGTGGTGGTGGTGGTGGTGGTGGTGGAGGTGGTGGTGGTGGAGGTGGTGGTGGGTGGTGGTGGCGGTGGTGGCGGTGGTGGTGGTGGCGGTGATAGTGGTGCTGCTGCTGCTGTTGTTGCTGCTGTTGGTATTCCTATTGTCAGTGGGACTGTCGCTGCTACCGTGATTGCTCTTGTTCTCTTCATGAGGTCCAACATGCTGTGTTGCAGCATGTGGTGCTGGAGCTGCTTTATTATGATCTTTACGGTATACTGAAGGATACTATATACTGGTATACATGGATGTAGACTGTAGACTGTTACATGCCGGGGCTGCACTGGCCTCCCTTCTTCCCCAGCAGCGGTGCGACAGGATGCCTCAGAGCAAGGGGTTCTTCGGCTTAGGCCTGAAGGGCCTCGGGTTTAGGGAGGTGTCGATGGTAGTACCGACGCTGTGCAAATTCACTGCACTGAGCGTCTTGGCAATTGAACGGTGTGCACACGGACATATGTCGTTCCTTGCCGGCCTTCTGCACCTGATGCTGCCAATAAAACTCCCAGAATTGCCGGTTCAGACCAATACTTGCGTTCGTCGAAATAATCGAATGTAAGGTTGGCCACGATGCGCCGTGTGGGGGCGGCTCGGGCAGTGCTGCGAAGCACCCCGGATCCGGAAAGGAGAATTTGCTTCTAAGACCAGGTTGCAACCCAGGAGCCCGTGCACTTTGGCCACGACAGCGGTGTGGCTTTCTGGGAGTGGTGTTTTTCAGTTTGGGCACGACGGTCTGACAATACGGCCATCTCTTAGGGTTCGGGAGTGATGATCCTTCCCCGTGGATGGTGTTCCGGTGTCCCTGCAGAAAACCCAATCAGCATGATTGCCAGGCCTTAAGTGTTTGCTGACGCTTGCGGTCGTGCCGTCGCCGGCGGCAGGACCCCTTCTGCATTGACTATGCTGTGGTTGTAGATGTTGTGCTGGACGTGTCTGCATCATCTGACTCCGATGTTGTGGTTGACGTGTCTGCATCATCTGACTCCTCCGGGGTGCTTCTCGTCGTATCGTTCTCCGATGGCCCTACCCGGTGCCACATTCTTGCTGCCAACTCACATTTCTGTTCTATCAGAGCTGCCAGCATCAGGGTGCTTCCATGACTACTGTCAGCACCTCGTATGGCTTCAATGAAAACTGCTCGGTCCGTGCCAGCCGCGCAAAGCTGAACCAGCAGCGGAAAGCCGGATACACGCAGGGCCCAAAGTGCGAGCAACCGTCCGAGTCTTCCGTTGCCATCACTGAAGGGATGGATTCGAATAAGATGATAGCAGCACCATGCTGCCTTACCACAAGCAGAGATGTCGCTGCGCTGCATGATGTCCCAGGACTTCCGCACGAAATTACCCAGCGCACCTTCAACACGCGGTCCTGGCACAAAGCGCCGGCCACCGCAACGTGCTCCTGCTACCGTTCGCTGCACCCCTGCGCGAGATGGATCTGACGACTGCATGAGCATGCGGTGCCATCTTTCAATGTCCAAGATGCAAAATGTGCGACTGACTTTCTGTTGACCGGCGTGCCTTAAAACATCTTCGACAGCGTCATCCCAGCATGATCGATCCCCGGCCACTTTTGCGGGGGACTTCTGCGCGTTCCGAGAAGTGCCCACTGAGAGCCGAGCATCCTCCTTGAGCAGGAAGCGGGTCCGCTGTGGAACGCTTTTTGGCTTTACGGATAGAAGATGTTGGATGCCAGCTCCCGTTCCTTCCAACTCGATGTGTGCAGAACTCGAATCACTTTCACAGGTGATGCCGTTATCGTCAGGGACTTCTTCAGTACTGCTGGAATCCTCTCTCGTGCTGGAAGTGGTGTCCACGCTGTCCGAAGATGTGCTCTGCGTTGATGTCGTGCTCGACGAATCTGCATCGTTTGACCCCGCAGGGAGGTCGCAGACTGCTAAGAAATCCACGACAAGTGCCACATGGAAGTGCCGTGTCTCGTCTGTAAACACTACATCCGTTGTGCTTGTGTCCGTGTCTGTGTCATCCGGCTCCAGGATGAAGAGCTCTTCGTCCTCGAACACGAGCTGCACAGGGTCTCGGTCCCAGCAGTCGGCACGGACAAGTTGAGCCGCTTGAGATTTGGAAAGCATCTTGCATTCTGGAATAAGGAAGAAATTGTAAAACACGTGCTTGCGCTTGCCTTCGCAACGATACCCATCCCAATTTCGAGTGCGGTAGGCGTGCCATCTCAATGAAACACTCAGCAGGTCGCTGATGGCAATGCGGATACGCTGCGAGCCATGGGAACAGCACGTCTGGAATTCGTTCTCAGCGCATGCCCAGATTTTGGTCAGGCCCACAGAGCCACAAAGACAGTTGTGGTCACGTCGACTACCGCGCAGGCCACCACTCTGTCGAATGTCCGCGCCAGACTCAGTCAAGTGCCAAAGTTCGACATTGGTGCGCTTCATGCGGGTACGTGTACTGCGGCGTGCAAGTCATCAATTATCAAAAAGATTGTATCGTCAAGCAACCACAAGCACGAGTAGATTTGAATGATCCCGTTGCGACAATGGTAACGTTGCCTCTGAAGATGCGTCCACTGCCCTCGAGCACGAAAATTGAAACTTTGGCTTGATCTGTTGAACGTCTTTGGGGGATTCTATCGTCCTCGAAATTCTGGGCAAAGAAACTCAGTGCAGAAGTCAGTCCAATGTCGCACAACTGCATGCACGTGCATGTGTCGCTAGGGCCGGGCCAGTTATGGTGATTCTATCAACTTCTATCGGCGGGTCATAGTTTTAAAGTTGTAAAGGTGTCCATCCCGCTGAACCTCAAGCAAGGATAGGTCTAGATGAGGCATCTACGCCGTGAAAACAAACGCCACGTGCTGCTGCTTCAGGAAGAGTTGTGCACGACGGAACTCGATCAAGGGCAGTCTTTGCAACAGCTTTGATTGTTGATGATGCGATACCATGCTGCTCTTGCAAGGCACTCTAAGGTTGACGCCTGCGCAAGGGCGGGAAATCCACGAGAAATTCCTCGTTTGGGGACTCGACCGCGTCACCGAACGGCCATCTACAACCGCCACATGGCCTTCAGCCGTTTGGTGATCTTTGGCCGCAGTGTGCGTGCACCGGTCTCCTGCTTTTCAGAAGCCTCAGCATCAGTCAGAGGGCAGGGCCGGGGCAGTCGGGCATATGGACGCCGTTGAGACTTTGGCTGTGCAACAAAAACTGAAAATGAGGCCTCCCAAATTGGCACCACATTATGGGCATCCACCTGACATGGTTTGCACTTGTATTCAAAATCTCAGCCATCAAGCCTGGCAACCATCGGAATGCTCTGCCGGCCTGCAGCAACGGCACCTTCATGTTCTGCAGTGCTTTCGCGACCCCTGTCCCCGGGCAGCTTGCTGTGCTGAGAGACATACATGTGTTCACCGCACAAATGAAACTTCCCGTGCTATGTGCAAAGTGCGCAGCACGAACGAGGGTGCAGTATGGCGCAGCTGCACGTAGGCCAACTTATAGATCCACGTAATCAATGGTGCTATACCCGTAGCGGTTCGGTCGCCTGCCGTCCAAGAACGTGGGACTCGAAGTGGCGAAGTGTCACAGACGACAGCATGCACGGCACCTGAACGAGATGGCTCGTCGAAAACTCTGAGGGCAATACGGTCCGGCAGAGCAAACATTGAAGCGATCTGCCAGCCTTTCTTACCCATCTGCTGGAGCTTTCGAACGAACTTGGGGACTTCCGTCACGCTCTGGCCCTGCGGCGGCCAAGGCACTGCGACTACTCAGGCGCCCCGACTTGCACCTACCCTACAGGGACATACAGGGACTCTCCATGCAACCAGCAAAACACACGGTAGCCACCTGCCTTCAGCAGCACAAAGCCTTGCAGACAAGACGCCGCATTTAGGCGGAGTGGTTGAATTTATCATACACTAGTAGCAAAGGGCACAAGGTAGATTCTCCAACTCGTTTAAGCCCGTGGACCCTGGAACATATCACATTGACTCGGCCGCCGCGAGTAGGCAGAAGCTTTGAACCCGAAATCATCTTGCAAACCATGCAGATTGACAGGACTGATGCAGGGCCCACCCTGAGCTCGCTGCCGATATTCAAACTCTGAAGGTCCTTGCATGTCTCCGCCTCTGCATGCACCCAGCAGCAAGCCAACTTCGGACGATCTAGACGCAAGGACGATGCAAACTCCGTATATGGTGCGGTCGACTTTGAAAGGGGTGTCCGTGGGCCGACTGTGGCTCCATACAACTCCGAAGCTGGGCCCCAAGCCAGTCCCTGCAGCATGAAGTCAAAGTGGCGAAGGGTGGCGTCCAGAAATTTCGGCACCAGGCAGAAGCAGACAAGAAGGGACCTTCATGCTCAGACTGAAACCTTGAAGTCCTAGAAGCTTTTCAATTTCATGCAATTTCAGCGCTGAGGGCGCAGCGCCTTTCTCTCAAGAGCCAGATCCTCAACCAGCTTTGTCAGGGAAGGTATTATCCGCGCAACGATGGTGCTGCCGCTGTAATGACAATCTGCATGCTTCCATCGGTACTGGCGTGGATGTCTAGGATGCTTCTTTGCTCTGCTTTTCGCTTTCAATGCCAGCGCATGAGAAGAAGATAGAAATGATCTCTCCAGGAACATCAGGGAAGCTCCTGAGCCTTCAGGAGGGCCCAGTTGTCGTGAGCCCGCTGATCCCTGGACCTTGCAGTGAGGCGATGCACTCGGCAAGCAGACGTCCATCTCGGCAGGCGGCCAAGGGAATGCTGAGTTCAGCACATCCAGTAAAGCACAGCACCCCCAGAGCCATCCTGCATCTAACTGACAGATGTGCATGTGGCTTTCGGCTGATTGACCCCGTGGGCCATGTGATTTATGATACAAACATATAATCCGAGAAAATGCAACGTACAAGCCGGTTGGAGTCGCAGCTCCAAGGGTCGGCCTTGATTTCGACTTTGTTGGCAGCGCGCACTCGGCGTGAGTCCACACGGGGTCCCATGCTGGCGTGGCTGGGGCAGAAGCTGTAACACAACTGACAGGTTGTTTACACGAAGCCTTGCGAAAAAGCGAGGCGTGTTCGAATTGCTGCACTTCCACATGTCTATACTGAGCCGCACCTGTTGCAGAATTTGTGCTGGACAGTTGTCAACCACGACGATGAATACCCGAGCCATCGAACCAGACTTGCACTGCGTGGTAGCAGTCGACCCGCGTCGTGAAATCTGTAGAACTGGGGCCGAGCATTTCACACATGCCAGATATGTCAAGGGCGGCCATTTTGCTCGGAATTAAACTCATACTGTCTCTATGCAGCAGAGCTGCAGTAAAACCTGCGCAATCAATGCTTCAACGGGCCTTGAGCTGAGGTGTCCAAGAGTGGACAGCACTATGGCAAGCTCATGCAAGCCCCACAGGGCACTTTCGGTCTGAAGGTCTGCTCTTTCGCACCTCCTCGACAAAGAATCACATTCTCCTTTGCTTGTTGCTTGGAAAGCCTCTGAAAGAAAATCTATACACTTCCAGCTGGGGGCAAAAAAACTTAAAAGATAAGACATGAAGACATACTCCCAGGCTCATAGGTCGTTACATGGAGTTTCGGCTTCTTCATGCTAGGCAAGCGTTCTCTTTCACCCCAGCTGGCGAACGGCTCTGTCAGTTTGTCATGAGCGTTGCTTTGAAGACAACCACAAGGCCACTAGACCCTCTTGTACAGGGAGCCAAACGGAGAGAGAGAGAGAGAGAGAGAGAGAGAGACTGAGAGAGTTTGCTTCGGAGAGCCGCATTCCACCAGCAAGTCTCACATTGCAAACCGACATCGAGAAATTGAGTGCTACGTACATGCCATGAAGTGCGAGAAGACCTCACCTGGCAAGCAAACAGGAATTTGCGGGGACAGTCTTTCAAGATAGTAGCACATTATGAGTTGGCTGCTACGAAGCAATGCAGACGATGCATGACTGCTCATTCCTGCAATGTATTGCGTGCTGGAGCTCGCGCCTCTTGATGAGTTGCGACCGCTTCGGGTGTCTGCCGCGGTAGGGGAGCTAGACCTCCGCAGCTTTTCGGGGAGATCGCACCTCTTCCTACATTTAGCAAGCTCCATAGGCTATAGGTGTACTCTGCTGAACATCATCTCCTACGGTACCACTGCCAAGTGAAGTAGATAGGGGCGCTAAGTCGCGCTTTTTGGGGCACGGGTGGGTTGGGGCTGCGGGCTGAGGGAATGGAGTGTGGTAAGGCTTTTGGACGGATGTGGAATGTGGGTAGTGTCTGATGGGCTTTTGGCTTGAAGCAAAACCTACCATAGACATTCCCGAAGCTTGTGGGTTGGGTTTGCTATGAGGGTCGCTGACCCCATACTTCATTACTAGTAGGATATTGGTTATAGAATGGGTAACCCCAAACCCAAAACCCTAAACCGCTAAACCCTAAACCCTAAAGTACTTTGTGTTTTAGATCTTTGTGTTGGTCGCATCGGCAGACGACTCGCGAGGCGTCGCGACTTGGGAGATGGTTTTGTTTTGGATGGTGTTGTGGATTGTTATGATTGTATTATATTATTATCTTATACTATTATAATATATTATTACTATATTAGTATATTATATTATATTATATTATATTATACTACATTATATTATATTATATTGAGTTGGCTTTGGGTGTGCCGTGAAGGACTGATTTACTAGGCGGGTTGAGAAATGGCGTGAAAGCGTAGGGGCTGGGATTGAGTCTTGGGGTACGGGCGGTGCTTCGGATTGTGTTTCGTGTGTTTTGAATTGTATTTGTGGTTTCGGCGTGGGACGTGGGAGGTGCTCTTCGCTTTGGTGTTTTGAAGGGTTGGTTTAGTAGGCGGGTTGAGAGATGGGGTGAAAGCGTAGGGTATAGGATGTGAGGTCTGAGGTCAGCATCTGCGACATGACGACGGAAAAATGATCATACTGCACCTGCGAATGCTAGAGGAAGAACAACAGCGGCAGCACAAATGACAACGACAATCAGCATGGCAAGACGAAACATGCCGAAGTAAATCACGCTTGCAACGATAATCGTACGAATCTGAAACAACACTACTGACGCATATTACAAGACCGGACAACATAAAACACACTGGCAACTCCTGATCCTGCCTCCGAGGATTCGGTAGCGGTCGCGGAACGGTCAAAGATGGTCAAAGGCCGTGCAGTCACGACGGACAGGCACACCAGAAGAAGCCAGTTTGGGGATCTAGGGCCCCTGCGTGTCAGAATCTACATGTTGACGAATCAACACACTATACACAGTGCAAGGTGAATAGGCTGCTAGCCATTACTTGACAAGTTCTGGTCCAAAAATCTGAAGGTCTCGCGAAGCAAACATGCATTGGCTCCAACATTGACTCGACTCTGCATTTGCAACGCATGCACCCTGAAGAAGGTCGGGGGTGTTTCGCTGGACTGGCTTTGACGACTCAGATATCGATACCAATCACTGTCAGGTTGTAACGTCTTCTGGTGCATGGATTCACCTGTCATCTTCTGCGTCGGCGGGGCCTGCAGGCCCTCCTGTCATGAGGCTATATCATTCGGTCGAACTCCATTGGACTTACCTGTAAGCCAGGCTTACTAAGTGCTCCTGGCACTTCAGAGGGCCCACAAGCGTGCTGCATGCCTTCTCTTGTGCATCTTTGCTAGGGCAAAGTGCGGCATAAAACCTTGCCATCGCACAGAATCCGGCTTCAATAATCAGAAGCCCTAAGCGTTAAATAGAAGAGAAGACGACAACAACAACCGAGCAGGCTTGTGCCAAATGATCGGCCACGGCAACCTTACAGGACCCCTTGCACCGCCTCAATTGCAAGCACCAAGCCCTTGTCGAGTACTGGGGTTGTTGTCATCTTCGTAATGGCAGTGTATGATCACAGCCTCCCCCGATAAGGCACATACATTCGGCACATGTTAAATGTAAGGATGGCCAGTATTCGGTTCAGTATCTCCTGGCAAAATACTTCGAAGTGCAAAGGTGGAGAGTGTGACCACATGTTCAAACGGCTGTGAAGCAGAGGCAATGCCACTTGTGGCTTCGGGGCGATCTTCATCGAAGGAATCCGACATGGCACTTTGCTGACTTTGCCTCTGCCCCTGCATAAACAAGAAACTTGAACGAGCTGACGCGCCAGACTTTTGCAGAGGCCGCATGCAGACAGACGGAAGCGAGAACCAACGCCTGACGCTCACCGGCTTCGCAGAGCACAAGATGCAGCTCCTTGTCACAACTGAATTACATCACGGATCATCATTCTCTGGCGCAGGCTCGACCAGCAATTCTCCTCAGCTGGATGCACCATGTCCAAAGGACTCAACTTGGCTGGGCCCTTTCCCGAGGCTGGACTGAATTGAACAAAAATGGCCCCACGAATCAGTCCTTCATGCCATTTTGTCAGGAAAGAAGTGCGGAGCACCAACATAACAAACGCAGACACAAGAAGACAAAGGCACACCATCCACACACACGGAACGCTCTGGTTGTGTAACTTTTGCGAAGCCATATACTGTCATACCCAAGACATAGTGCCTACCCGACAGCGATATTTCGACTTGTGACTTCATGGGCAATAATGTTGAAGGCGAGCAGCAAGATGTAACGCTGCCTGAAACCTGACCAACCTTCCTAAACCACAGCTATCAGCCTCTACCTGGTAAAGGTTCATGTGCATGCATGAGAACTCAGCAAGCAATACTCAGCAAGTGCAGCACTGAGTGAAACCAACCACTCCGAAATTGGGGTTCTCGGCTTAGCCCCGCCCCAGGCCATATCCAGTGCAGTCCTGTGCAAGTTTCGGTGGGCGGGAGCAGGTCTTTGATTGGGGTTCACAAGCTGCAGGTGTGTGAAGAAAGCGTCTTTTCTTCATATCACAGCAAAGCTGGACGGTCTTTGTTACGCTGGGCAGCGCAATCCAGAAATGTTCACTGACCCCCTGCTGGTTTCTTTTAAGCACATACCGAGAAGGTGCAGGAAGAGAAGACCCTTAGGAAACGGGCTTGCGTGCACACGTCACACGTCAAACCCACACCCACACCCACACGCACACCCACACCCACACCCACACCCACACTCACACCCACACCCACACCCACGCGCACGCGCACGCGCACGCCCACGCGCACGCACGCACGCGCGCACGCAACCAACCAAAAGGCGCAGCAGACTTGTGGACAGAGGCGTGCAGAAGCGAAATTTACCAAGCGATCCCGGGCTCTGTTCGCTCTGTCCTGCTTTCTCGGGAGCACAGCGGCGTAGGCGACAGGCTGCGTTGACAGCAACTGGCCCGCCTCTTCGGTCACGCAGGCCTACCGTTGCGGTATCCGAGATCGAGCCTCTGCTGAGCCGAATGGTTGTCCTTGACATAGTGAGAGTTAGTCTACTTCGTCCCGAGCCGCTTCACGTGCTGGCAGTGCTCGCGATCAGCAAATGTCCAAGCAACTGCGAGTGGTTGTGGATCGGCCACCATCGCACACACGGCTGACACCTCTGTGCCCTTCGAGGAAACCACGTCCAGAGTGTCCGCTAGGCACGACTCGCACCAGAGCTGAAAAGGTGTGCTTGTGCAAACACATCTACAACGATTTTGCAACGGGAGCGGCCGCTGTTCGTGACGTCACTTACGACCTCTACAACGAGAAGCAGGGCAAGCAGCTACCTCAAGGTTGCTCCTGTCAGTTCTATCGAAAACATTCAAAAACCGAGTTCACAGAAGATTGAAGGCGAGATCCAGCTGCAGCTGTGGCTCGGAGTCTGTCAACTTCAGATGGGGTAAAGCCGATGTACCTGAAGTAGCCGTCGATTCCGCTGAACTCCTTGCTGTCTGTAGCTCGAGCTTGTCAAGTTAGGCTGGACCGGTCTGCTTGCATGATTGGGGACCGAAGAGCTTGCAACCCCGCGATGCAGCGGGAAGAACTGCCTCCAAACCACATACGCAGGCACCGTCCTGCTGCAACACTTCATGCATGACGTACTCAATGATGTCTCTGTGCACCTCAACTTACACGCAAGCATGACAATGAACTTGAGGAGTGGGTGACATCATGCCCCATTTGCTGCCTGTTCAAGAACGCGCAAAGCTCGGCACCATTGATCGTTTGATGGCATCAGGATCAGAGACAATGTTCACGTCCTGCACTTGCGCTCATCCCCAGTGAACATATGCAGCACGACGCAAATAAGACACCTGCATTTGGCTTGCAGCTCGTTCCCTCGACCAACAACAGATCAGTCTTTGACGGACTAGTTCCACCAAGGGGGTGCCTTTGTCAACCCCTCGTCGATGACTTGTGCAATAGATTCCCCCTTCCAAGCTTGTAGTCCGTGCTTCTTGCATGCTTCGTCCTTTCCGTTATCGTCGTTGGGTTTAGGAAGACGGTTTGACAACAGCAGGTCGTTCCTGGATTGAGTCGTGTTGAACTCGTTCCGCTAGAGCAGAAGCCGTTGCCACGCTTGTCGCCTTTACCATTTGCTTTCGGATTATTGCTGGTTTTGCCCTTGCCCTTACCGTTGTTGGGCTTGGGATGGCTTGAGAAGCAGAGAGGGCAGTTGGTCCTTCTGGTGGGGTGGAGCTCCTCCCACAAATCTGCCAACGAAGAGTTGAGATGGCTGGTTGGTCGGGAGCAGCAATAACAGCAGTTGCTGTGAACCCTGGGCCGGAAAACGGTGCATCTGATGAGGGAATACCGTGGGTGTATAATGGGGGACGGGATTGATAGGGTAGACACCGGTGCGGTCCCCTTGTGGTGGCAGGCTTGTTTAGCTCTGTCAGTCAGCACGCGACATGACGGTGAGAGTGCGGCAGTGGTGGCTGCAGTTCATCGCGCGCCACGACCCCCCTATCCACACGCTCTCTTCGCGTTGACGGCAGACCGCCACGCACAAGTCCTCCCAGAGTGGGGTGTCGCCGTCACCTGAATGCTCAAGAGTAAGAAAGGCTGCTGTGTCTTCAAGAATATGCATGCCTTCCACCCAACATGAATCAGGCCCTGACAAGTCCTAACGTGAAGAAAAGACTGCTTGGAGCAATTAAACAGCAGCCTCTTCAGTCCACGGAGTCGGCAAGCGCTAAGCCGCTAAGGCTTGGCCATCAACGGTTGTCGTTGATGTCAGGGACTTGCTGGGTATTGCAGTTTCTTTGCTGAGCTGAGCTCGCGGCTGTCCAAGATGTTCTGGACGCTTGGTGGGAGTCGCGTCCTGGCTTGTCACCAGCAACGGCGTTGCTGCTGCAGCTTCAGGTAGGAATCCCAGACCCTGCCTTCGCACCAGCAAGCTGTATTTCCGTGGGTCACGGATCCTCAGCTCCTGCACGCGCTGCGTGGCAATCCTACATACTACCAGCATGCCACGCAAAGGCAGCACTAAGATACTAGCAGGGTATGATTGCCTGCCGTCCGACAAATCAACAAACCTTCGCTGTGATGCTCCAGCATCAGCACCTCATCCCCCTTGCACCCTCATCTCCTCACACCACATGGCGACTGCGATCTGATTGCAGGCGTTGATGTGTTGCGCAGACTGCGACACAGGCGGGGCATGCAACCTAAAGACCCAAACCTCACCAACTTCCGAAAATCACTCGACAGGCTGGCTGGAAGATGACAGCTTTCAGATGAAGTCTGCATGCAACTGTTCATCCTGAGCACGTCCCACGATAAGGCCAGAAGAATTCCATGACATGCTTGCAGCTGCCTCATTGGTGAACATGTAGTCAGAGATGATGTCCTGCTCAGCCATTGGACGGGCATGCAGTGATGACATGGCGACTTTGGAAACTCAGACTCTCTCAGATGCAGGAGGAGTGATGGACGCGGCTCAAAATTTGGAGGAAACGGCGGCTGCGATCTCGATGTGAAGCGTGAATCAGGGAAGCCGTGGTGCGTAGAGTCCGTCCCATGTGCTGAGTGGCAGATTTCGTGGTGACGGCCGCATTCAGATGCTTCGAACAACAAGATTTAAGACATCGTACACGAGCGCATGACTTCTTGCTCGAATGAAAGGTGCGTCCTCGTCGCTGACTCCCAGGGCGAGCAGTACCAAACATGCCAGAAGGCCTTGGAGCACGGGCGTCCCATGGAGCTGCAGCAGCAAGTGCAGACATCAAGGTCCCAGCCCGTGCGGTCCTTTCCCGCGATGCAGCCGAAGGCCACTGGGAAGTTTCGCTCCTCAGCTTCATCGGATTTTCTGGACCAGGGCTGTGGTGAAGGCTTCCTGGGCTCACGGCATCGACTAAGGCTCTGAGTGCCTCACTCTCACACTGGGCCGAACACCGTTGGGTATGCACATGCTGTCTGATAACAGAGCAGGCAGCTAGCAGGCTACCGCAGGCTGAGGCGTGCGGCAGTAAGAACCTCCTCCGAGTTCAAGATGAGCATGGCACGCATGCTCGTCTTCAGCTGAACCTGGAAGCACAAGGCTAAGGCGGCTAAGGCTTGCAAAGGATGCTCCGAAGATCAGGAAAATAGACTTCCTAAATCGGTCCTGCAGATCGTGAAAGGCTTCGCTTCGCATTTGCTTCTGGAACCAGATGGCACCTCAGAAGTCCAAGGAGAAATCTACAGACCCTCTTGGCCAGGGTGGCTCCACTCGGATGCCCAAGGGCTCAGGAGGCCAGACATGGGCAGCTGAGCGCGAGGGGGTTGCTTTCAAGGTTGCAAGCCCGAATTTTCTGAGACGCCGGCACTGTGCCTTCTTGTCAGATGGATCGACTCTGCCTTCCTTGGCGGTCGCTGGGCAAAGAGATTCGGGTGGTGAAAGTCATGTCGGGCGCAAGCTAAGTCCTGAGCTGCTTCATCTCGCGTGAGGGGTCGTGCTCCAAGGCCCTGCGCAACTCCGCTTACATTCTGGTGAGTTACGGTTAGTTGAAGGCTGCTCACACAGACGTTTCGGGGGTTCCCAGCCTTGGAGAAGGGACAGCTCAGCCGGCGACGTTCTCCCGCATCTGGGAAGGCGATGCTTCCCAACGCGTGACCCCCGTAGCTCATGACATCTTAACTTACTTACAATTCCTGACCATCCCAGATGAGCTCATATCTACTCGGCTAGAACTCAAGTACAAGTTCGGTTGCTGCCTCGGGGAACACTGGCCTCGTGCCGCCCATTTGGACTGGGCGGGTAGTCGTCGAAGCACTCCCTGCCATGTAGACTGGTGTCCGAAGGAGTGACGGACTAGTGACGGGCTCGGAGTGAGGCCTACTCTGCAGATACTCACACTCTGAGAGGAGCACGCATCGACACTTTCAAAGTCCTGTTATCGCGGAATGTACAGGAAGGCAACAACCCAGAGACCTTTCAACAAGGCTGTGCCGCGTGACACCCTAGATCAGTCCTGGCCATTGCGAAGGTCAAGGTAGGTACAAATGCCCAGTGTATCGCGGATCATTGACAGGTCGGTCGGTGTGGCAGTGACCCAGTGGCCTGCACGACAGAGAAAATCTGCTGGTCTGGCAGTAAAGTACTGAAACAATACTCCACTGCTGCACCGAACCAACTCCTACCAGTAGTCCTACACCTCTGCGCCGAGAACGGCTCATTGCAGCTCTGAGGTTCCCAGCCGGTGCGGTAGACTTTGCCGCGAGCAAGTCGGCCACCCTGGAAGCACTTGCCCACTGCGGCTCCCAAGGCTTAGACGGGTTGGCTACATCAATGGCTTCTGCGTAGTTGCGCATAATTGCGCATACTGAAGGGTGACGGAGCATGTCCGATTCTTCCCTAAGCACACAAAGCGGCAGCCGCAGCCAGGCCTTGCAACGATAGGGCGCAGAGGCATCCTCGGATTGTGCTACAGCCTCACCTCGCCTAGCTGCCGAATCGCAGGGCAGCTTTCCGTATGGCGCACTCTTCGGGAACAGAACCGGGAGTAAATCAGCCAATGCTTGTGACAAGTGTCAGGTCCCGCAAGATCGCGGAAGTTGGCGACCTTGGCAGTGCACAGGGAGCTTGCAATGCCAATGATGTCGCCACAAACTGATCACCCTCAGGCTACATCCAGCAATTTCAACCCGCAACACCGAACAACAAGCTGCTCATCGCATTCATCCTAAACTCAACTTCACAGTTTCTGCAGCGTTTAGGCCGCAGACCCTGTCCAGCCCCAACAAGCTCACCCAGCCATCCGGACGGTCCGTCTGACAAGTCGGGCAGCACAGAAGGACCCGATCCTGTCACAACTGAAGCCTAGTGAGTCCCTGCCTTTGTCGCACAGGTGCTCGCAGAGAGGTTTGTAGCCTCCCATACAAGCATGTCAGCTGGCCATTCGTCTGAACTCGGCACTGTTGCGGTGCGCATTGTCTCGCTTGTGCCCACTGCTGTCTGGCTCCTGCGTGGGTTCCTGCTATATCTTCTCCCGGTATACTATGAGGCTTCGAAATACACTCCTTCTGTTCGTCGGAAGACTGCGTGTACTGTCACTCTGTTACTACATTATCGCTTGCCATATGTTGCGATTTTTGTGCTGCCGCTGTTGATGAAGGTGATGGCGATGATGATAGTGCTGATGATGATGATGATGATGGTGATGATGATGACGATGATGATGATGATGATTGAGGAGGAGGAGGAGGAGGAGGAGGAGGACGATGACGATGACGATGACGATGATGATGACGATGATGTTGTTGACGATGGTGATCATGATGGTGATGATGATGGTGATGATGGTGATGGTGATGGTGATGAAGATGAAGATAATGATAATGATGATGGTGGTGATTTTGTTGATTTTGGTGATGATGATGATGATGATGATGATGGTGATGATGATGATGATGATGATGATGATGGTGATGATGATGATGATGGTGATGATGATGATGATGATGGTCATGATGGCGATGATGAAGATGGTGATGATGGTGATGATGATGATGATGATGACGATGATGATGGTGGTGATGAAGATGAAGATGAAGATGATGTTGATAATGGTGATGAAGATGATGAAAATGATGGTGATGATGGTGATGATGGTGGTGATGATGGTGATGATGGTGATGATGGTGATGTTGATGATGATGATCATGATGATGATGATGATGATGATGTTGTTGTTGTTGCTGTTGTTGCAACATGGGTGCTGTATGCAACAGACTACTGTTAGGCGCAGGCCCAGTTGCTGTGAACACGATCTGTATCCC